ACACTTGAGTATGATATGTATCTTGCGTGAATCATTTACACATTTTGTTTTAGAGGCATGAGTTGGTCGAGCTGGGGCACTACTTTTCTGTCCTGGGTGCTCTCCTCAACACAACAGCACCTGGCACAAAGGGGGTCAATAAGTGTGTGCTCAGCTGAGTCTGAAATTACCTATTTAGTAGCACTGAGGCAACATCTATATATGATGGGTGCTGGGTGAGAGGCAGGCAGGAATGATCTCCTGCAAGCCTGCCTGTCCCGAGTGAACATTGCCAATTAGTGTCTCGATTATCAGAGTTATAGAATTGGCAGTCCTTGATTTTCTGCCTCGGGAAACACTGGAATTAAAATTGTTCAGCAGAACTTTGGCATCGGTATTTGGTTAGTTATTTCAACCTCTAAACTCTTTAGCCTTAAAAGTTCAAGTAAGTTCATTTTCAAAGGATCTCTTAAAAATACACAGCTAAAAGTTAAAAGACTAGCTGGAGATTCCAATTTCTAAGGATTATTTCCTGTTTATTTTTCATACCAGCTAGCTGAACTCTCACATTTCATCTTGGAGACAGGACACAACTGTCTGCAGATAACATACTTTGTTCCCTTATACTCAAACAGGCAAAGGCAAGATGGACTCCTGGCTCTATTTGCTAAAAAGGTAGAGCAACAAATGGGAGGTAGAAAAAGCCGTCTTGGGAGAATGACACAGAACTGAGCACAAGGAACTTCTTTGTTCAAGAGCACAGGAATCAAAACACTGAAACTGCTGTGGTATTTTGGGTATTATCCAAAACAACAGAGTCGCTAGTGAGAAGATGAAAACTGATATATTTCAGTTGGACAGTTTGTACTTTTTACGCTACATTCATGCACAACAATCAAAAGGCAAGAATCTGGAGTCCTTACTCAGCCTCGTTCTCACCAAAGTAGGGGTTTTACAATGCTTATGAAATAAGAAAGGTTTTTGTTGTTGCTTATAAAGACAGACAGATTATATTCAGCCATGGCCCAGAGGAAGGAAGACAGAAGAAAAAAATAATAATAAGGGTGCTTGTTAAGACATTGACCTTTCTAAAAAGGCTGTAAGGGCTTGAGAAACATCCAGAAGAGAGGTTCTCCCCAACAGACTTTATCGTTATCAATAGCAGCTTTTCCATATACTGCTCTGCTTGCACCCTTCATGCCACTGGCATGTTCCTTCTGCAGCTATTGTGCAGAAACTATTCCAGACTGACAAGAACGTCTATTTGCACCTACCCAGTGATTACTTATAGTCGCACAGTTTTACTTGCAAATTAAAGACAGTAAGTGTAAAACGAGTGCACATCCAGTATTAGGGTAGAGCATTTCTGTTGGTTCACTAAAATAATTTGCCTTTAGACAGGAAGAGTACATGTATTATTTGTAATAAAGATTTGAATTCAAGAAAGTTTTACACAAATGTCATTCTTCATAAAAATGAAGATTATCTATATGTGAATTGACTTTAAACAACATGTTTTTCAAAGTTTTCCCTGAGCTGTCAGCCTGCCTTTGGGGATTACAGGAAAAACACACTAATATAGCAAATGTTATAAATCCGCAGAATAACTCTTATCCCATTTATGTTTTGATTCTGTCATCACTATCCATCTATTGTTATCCTCGGGCAGTAATGAAATACAAGACTTGTTTCAAGTAGGGATGAGTGAGCACTGTACTTTGAAAGCTGTAGTTAACTACACGGAGCCCAGACTGCCGTCAGTGCATTAAATGTTATGCCAATATAAATCCAAACCCACACTGCCGTAACTCTTCTGGAGCTTGTCTTCCATTACAGCTAGGGAGGGGGACCAGGGGATGTAGCAATGGAACAAATCTGGCAAATCTGAGATATTCTTACTTGGACACAGTGCAGTCAATATGGTCAAAAAGTGGTGAAGGTTCAATTTACAAAGGGCACATTTTTCAAAAGTGTCTGAGTCACACATGAGCCTCAAGGTAAACTTTTCATCATGTTCACATGATTCAGGAATCCTGGTTTCCAAAACCCTGAAGGGTGTGCAAACACAAATATGTGAGAGGTTTTCACATGTGACCCTACTATGCCATCAGAAGAATATTTTTAATACTATTTATTCTGAAATAGCAATGCTACCTCAACCTATTTGACATTAATTTTCCATAGCTCTTAGTATAAGGCTAGCAAAAATCACTGATAACAAAAAACAACCCCAAAACAAAACCCTGTTAAAATTTTATTTGCAGTTTCTCATTGGCATCAACCTACAGCATCAAGGTTAAATTACAGGGAAAATCATGAGCAAATTATGATGCACCTACAGAGTCCTTGACTGTCCATCTGACTTTCTCCCACCAGGAAAACAAAAAGAGACTCTTTTTTTCTCATAGAATGACATCTTGGTTGTTATCTGCTTTCAAGGAGATCACAAAAGTAAGAAGACAAACACGCTTAGGAAATGGAAAGAAATATATGTAAATCTTTTCCAGTTAATGTATAAGTTATTGTTACTTGTTAGGCTGAGGTTTATCTGGTTGTAGTTAAAAAGCTACGGAAGGAATTGGAGATATAATCTTTTACTATAGCGTTTCTTTTTTTAATCCACCGAGTAAATGGACACAGAATACACGCAGGCACGCATCAGGCAAATGTATCTGAAATCTGTATGTAAAGGGAAATAAATGAGCAGAATGGCTGGGAGGCCAACCTACTGAAGGAAAAGCATGGTATTTAAATGAGCGGGCAGGCAGGTGGCACAGGAGATGAGATGGGCAGGCAGAGAAGAGGCAGGCAGACACAGGGCAGTAGCACCGTGCAGCACAGCATTTCCCTCCCATCGGCAAGCTTGCCAGCCGGGGAGAAAACTGTCCTGTCTGTGAGCAGCACGCTGACTAAAAAACCTCCTTTGTCTCCTCTACAGCATGGTCCTGCCTATTTTTCCTATCATGAGGAACACTATGTGGTGTTAAATCATACATAAATATCAACTAGGACTTTCTGTCAGAAATGAAAAGCTAATCATCCAGTGACATGATTTAGTAGAAACTTTTAATCAAACCAAAGAATTATCCACCAGTGTTCGAGCAATTCAAACTATGCTTTATGTATGAGTTCATCTCTACTCACGAAAAATAGAGATTTAACAAAACATTCTTGTTCCTGGGGCAAGGGGGATGTAATATTTATCTGCACTGGTTTCCAGTGGGACATCTCATAAAATATGATGAAGTAAAGTAGTGACAATTCAGATAATAACATGGCAAACTAAGTTACAAGAAGACGTAAAAAGCTAACCATAGTAGAAAGTTCCCGGATGCGTCAGCTCACAGCATTACCAAAACTTGTGTGTTAAATTCTGCCAAGTTTATTGTAATCTTTTCTTCATTTCTTTTTTTTTAGCTATGGAGGTGCCTAGAATAGAGTCTATAGTTAGGCATGAAACTACAGCAAACTTACAATGGACTCAGATTCTTTATTTTCTTTCAAAATGGGCCATTAATTCTGATGCCTCTTGAAGACTCTATGTAGTAATTCTCTGACAACTTTTCAGACATTTCTAATAAAGAATTCATCTCTGAATGAAACCTGGGGAATGGTAGTTCTGCCTTTTTACTTTTATACTTCTTCAGTACTAAATGCCTCATGTCCATTTATTTAAGACCATAATCTTGGCAAACACATGGGTAAAATATTTCAGTGAAGAGACTGGGATTACTACAGACATAACAGGGAGGTAACCCACAATGGCAACGACACTGGAACTGAAACATTACACCACTTATCCACTGTCCCTCTACTTTCCCACCTACAAGCAGAAACCCTTTCACTGACACAACTCTGGCTGGCAATGAGTGCAAATTTAAATTGACATATTGAGGGTGCCACTCACTATAAAAGTTATTTTTCTCTTCACAGCCCTTTACCAAGGGGTAAATACATCCAATTACCACACTAAAATACTTCTTCTAGTACTGAAAATGCTTGGCTGAACACTATCAAATAAAACTCGGATACACACACACACAAAAACTGGGATTGGTAAAGTATTTAGGTTTTCCTTTTAGAAACAGACATGTAGTGTAATTATATCCATGTTGTTGTATAGCTAATTCCCACCAGAAGTTATTCTATTATGAAGTCAAAATATCTGAAAACAATCCTAAGCTACACACCTTTATTTTAATTTTACTGTTCTCATATAAATCAATGTATTGATGCTTCTATGGAGTACACATTTGAATTCTAATTAATGACACTTTTAAATGGATCCATACCTGAAGAACTGATCAAATGAAACTAAAGTGATCTGCACATAGTGGAATTCAGTATGTTGTTTCCTTCTGGTATACGGCTAATATTTAGGCAAAGTGCATCAAAACTTTTTAGTGAGGTAAACAAAAATTCACCTGCACTGCTTCTAATGAATGTTGGTAGAAGTGCAATGCAGCTTTAAGTAGCAGTTATAAATTGATGAAAGATGACAATTTACTCAGGGGGAAAAAAAAAAAAAGACAAAAAAAGACTTGACTGGTCAAATAATAAAACAGATTCAGATTTGGCAGAGGCTCTGGAAGACAGCTGTGCTTTACCCTTTTTCAGTACTTGAAATGCATTACTGAGGCATTGAGGAACCCTTAAAGTATATACAACTACAAAGGACTTTTTTGATGGATGAGCATATAAGGGAGGGGTAATATGTTGAACCTAGCAATTCAGAGTGTGCAGGAATGAAGTTATCTCGCCATCCCTGAAGTAAAGCTTCACAAGCAACACTTTAGAGCTTGTTATTCTCTTATATCAGTGCAATTAGATAACATATCAACCATCCTCCCCTTTTCACTAAATCAAATGGTGCTCCTTAAAGAAGCAGAATCTTTACAGCAGAGGGGTCTTGTCAAAAAGCTAGCTGCCCTTACATGACCTTGGGCTTTAATGGGGCTGACAAGCAGAGCTAGGCTACAGTGTAAGCACTTTTAGCTGGATATAAGCAAGTATCCACTTACTGTTGGTTGCATAACATATGGCGGATGAGGCATCCATGAAGTACTCTGGACCTGCATATCAAATACTTTTAATTAGCACAGAAAGTTTAAAACAAAACTCAAAGACTTACTTGAAAAAATTCTTTCTATTACAGCTATGGAGCTAATTTTGGCAAAGGACTTAGGTCATGTAATTCAATGCAAAAATCATTTATGCTTCATAAAGATACTGACAAAGGAAAAAGCTTTCAGATTTCATTTGATGATGTTTTCTACCAAAGTCAGAAGTCTGAACCACTGCGCCACTTCTATGATCCACACCGTTTTATCTCATAAAGCAGTCTTCAATATTCCACATTGTCCTACTTTTCATTTGTATTGTTTGCTTTTATCCATTAATATAGTCATTAACATGTCATCCAACTGACAGTGCAGGAGACATAAAATGTTCAAAGTTTATTTTCAAAAGTATCTGTATGAACTTTAAAAGATGTAACATATTCAGAGACCCCAGAATGATTTGTTTTCAGTAAGAACTGCAGATCTAATTCAGAGGTTTTGAAGCTTATTCTAATTGAAAGCTTCCACGGCAAAGCTGGCTTAAGATGTCCCTGCCCACCAGGATTAGCTCTTACCTTGGGCATCGTGGGGTCCATTTCCATCAGAGCTCTATATGCCTTACCAGTCTTGTTTTTCTGCCTTATGACTGACAAGTAACAGATTTCATGGATATACCAATTTTACCAACAATTAAATGCATCGGAGAGTGTTTGTGTATTTGTGGTGGCATTTCTGAGCCATAAGTCCCTCTTGGGCTAAGCATGAATGACCACATGCTATCATTACTAAGACTCAACCCCAAGAACTGTGCATCCTAGTTTCATTTTGCATGAGTCTGAGCACCATTAAACACAGGAAATACACAGAAAATACAGCTGTGCACATCAGTGGGCACCTCACTAGCTATCCCAAAGCTCACAGAGATGGGCAAACGCCTTTGGGTTTACACTGCAAACTATCTAAGGAAAATGATATAGGATTAAAAAAAAAAAATAAAAAATCAATGGTTTTGGTGCAAATGCATCAAACCATGAACTGATGCTGTAGTTCAAGTCAGGATGGGAGAAGGGAGCAGCTGTGAACTGTGGAGCAGTGATGGGAGTAAGTGGCTGGGTGGCCTGAATTCAGTGACCTGAAAAGGAAGGAGGTATGACTCTTAAGCCAGCTTTGCCACTGAGAAACGTGCATGTGAGCTGCACTTGCATGTCTCTGGCACTGACATTTCTTCGCTGTTACCATTTACTGAAACTTACTGGATTTATCTCACCAGAACATCTTTTGTTTGACAAGTGTTACGTAGCCATACAAGAATCATTTATCTTTGATGATCAAGTTTAAAACACAGTAAGTGTAAGCACAAGAACTACCTGTAAGCAGTAGCACACCATCGCAAACTTCACTCCCAACAAATCAACCCTAACATTAAGAACAACCCACCACGTGGCTTTGAGAGTTTGAATAGCTTATCTCAGGTAGGACTCAGGAAGAGCACTGATGCTATAGGACAGAAATAACTGAAATGAGAAAATGTACAGCTGACGACCAGCTTCAGAGTGAAGTGATATTTTCCAGAGAGCAGCTAATAATAAAACTATACAACCTGGTTTTGACTTCCATCTCAGAAAGCCAGAGCATGGCAATAATTTCCCAGTGGAGATCTGTGAGGGATACGCTGAAAAGAAATTCTGAACCACAAAGCGTGTGTGAGACTGAAGAAGAATATGAGGACAGTTATCCTCAACTTGTCTTGTCAGGGACTATTGGATAAAAATGACCACTTTTAAATGATCCTCGTACTGGAGCAAATACAGCTGAGGTCAAAAGGTCAAAATATGGTGCAGTTAGCATAAATATAAAACCCCCACTTTTAAAACTGTCAGCTAATGAAGGGCAGCCAAAATGACAAAACATTTCAGTAAGAGTGATAAGCTTCTGCTGCTGTCAACTGGAAATGAAGCAAAATGCTGTTTACTAGAGAAGTGGCTGGAAATAAAAGGAATACTTTGGCTTTCATTGCTAGTGTAAAAAAATTAGTAAACACTTAAAACCCTGCACAAGATGATACCTGAATACTACTAGAAAGCCTTTTGTTTAAAGTGTGACTCAAGAGCGCAAGCACTCACAGAATTTTCTGTGGTATAAGCTCTGCCTTCATCCACATCCAAAACATAATTAACTGGGAAACATAGTAGACAAGTGCAAATCTGACATACCTGATATGTAGAGACAGGGGAAGCAGCAATGAATGGCGTGATTGATGTCTGTGGAATCATGCGGTTTGTTGGAATACTGTACGGTGAGGAATAAAATCTGCAAACAAAGAACAAAAGCGAGATTTTTTGAACCTTTCAACTGCTGGGCTCTGACTAACTAATTCACTGCCTCTGAGGCAAAGACAAACAGAATCTACACAGGTAATTATGTCCATCTATTTCCAAAAGCACAATAAAGAAGATGTGATGGCTCCACTGAACAGATCTTGAAAATGGAAAGGAGGAGGAATATTTACACACAGAGTATTTTTTCACTTCAACTAGCACAAATATAGAACTTTAGGATACAAGAAGTAATTATCTGAAATGCAAGACAGCTGATTTTCCAGAGTGCTAGCTAGTGAAAGAAATTTCTTATGCGATATTGAAGACAATATTACTGATTTCAATTCTACCTGCAGTACTGTTTTCTTTTCAGATCTTACTGCTTCAGTGCTGAGAATAACACATTCCACATACATGCCTGACTTATTTTATTAAGGAATGGCTACAAAAGCTCTGGCTGAAGTTTTCATATTCATCTAGGTAGAGAGCAAAAACCCCTCCTTCTGGTGAAATGCATCAGGAATTATGAACGTACATGCCCCAGGCAGCACTGAAAAGCTCAGAATTAGTTGTTTTTATTTCCACTGTTGCATGCTATGAGCTGAAGTTGCACTATCTCTTGCTTGATGGCAATAAATCTTATATTCCTTCTTGTCCCCTGTGGGTTAATGACTATTGATAAAATAATCACTTGGAAAATATCACCACTGATGGATTGTGTAAGTACTTAATATGCTTGTGAAGATTTTTGCATTTGCCCTTCCCCCAGTTTTAACTGTAAACCAGAAAAATAAAATTGTTTAGGAAAACAATGTTTGTGGTCTTACAGCTGTCAAAATGTTGCTATTTTGGACTCCGAGAAACACTCCTGTGCAGTGTCCTCTTGTCAGATTTAAATCCCATGCAGATCCTTCTCATACAGCGTTCATCGATCTTACATGTAACAGAAGATTTTGCACATATGCTCTCTCTGTAACAGTGAAGTGTATTACACTCCCTGCCTTTTTATGGTTTTTTTTGATGTTGTGTGTTTTTTTTCTCCCCACACTGAGGCAATCAACAGTAGCTTTCCATGAGAGCCATGCAACAAAAATATCATTGCTGGTGTTTAAACAAGTGTTCTATTTCCTGATCGCCCTGGCATCCTGGATTTAGTACTAATCAGTCTAGTTCAGACTTGATGCATTCATTCTGGATGCAGGCTCAAATAACCACCAATTTCATCCAACCAATAGCCTCTAAAAAACAGGCTGCTGTCTTTGCAGCTTGGGCAGAAACCTTCAAAGTTAGGAGGGGAGAGGGAGACAGAGAAGCAATCATTTGTTCTCTCTATTCCAAATAAGATTTTAAAATGCCAAAAGCAGCAGGTGGCGTCTGAGTGATTGTTTAATTGAAATATATTGCTATTTTAGGAACATTTATCTGCCCCTACAACGCTTGCACAGAGACTATTTTAAAACTGCGCCTTTGCCCAATTTTATATGTATCCTATTATGAGAACTTAGAGGCATTTGTATCCCACTGCTTGTATCAGACATTAAGTTCAAATAACACAGCAGGGGTGGGGGGGAGGAGGAGAAGGATTTTTATACCATTAGCTGCATTCGTCTATGGTATTAGCATGATACATATGTTATCTACATCGTGTTACTGGGGTCTTCTCCCAGATAAGGTTAACCAGAAATCACTTTGGCTATACTCTTGCTAAGTGGATGGACTAAAAAATGCTGTGCACAGCAAATGAGAGCAGTCAATGGCAGACTGAGAGAATTTACTCTATGAGTAAAATGTCTAATGCATAGAAATACATATAAACCTCTTAAAGTGAAGGACAATGTAAAAACAAAACTCTCTTGGGAAAAAAAAGCCAAACATTTTTGTTCATTCTGTTCTCATTCTGTCCACCAGTCTGCAACTGATGCTGTGCTCAGACTATGTATGAACTGCTCGGACAAAGATCAGCACAGGGAAGAAATAACTTTCCATTTGGAAGTAGTGCTGACTCTTTGGAATAAACTCTCCAGCAAATCCCAGCAAATACTATGAAATTTACAGAAAACGTGTGCTAAGCCAAGAACTTGACAGACAGCTAAACATTTCAGTTTCAGCTTAGAAACGCAGTTATCTGAATAGTACATAAGCTTGTAGAATATACACTCCGGTAATGTGAAAAATACAACCCTTCCAACACCCCTGCCAATACCATTTATCTGTCGCAGTTTGGAATGCTCTCAAATAAGCATCAAATAAAACACACTATCAGGACACTCAGCTAGACTGTGAAAATTCATGCATCAGAGCATCAAAGAAGAGAAAGGAAGGAAATCTGATGCAGCAAATGACTGTGTGAGAAAATCCAGTTAATATATTCCAATTTTAATAATAACAAATTAAGTTTAACAACCTGAGTCACTGTGACGGCCTGCATGTCAAATATTTTGCAACCAGGAATCCCCTACATCCAGAGACAAAGGCTTGTCTTCCTGCCACAGCATCACTTGTGCCCAAAAGGATCTAAAAAAAGTGGGTGGATATCTCTGCCACACATGAAGTACAGTGATATGGTGAGGATAAGAGTGCCAACAGTGACAGTCTGAAGCAGAGCCTCTCTCCCCCAGATGTGGGATGCTCAACCTGCTGGAGTGCTGGAGCCATGTACTGGTCTGGCAGAGCCCACTCACAAGGAAGGCTCAACATGCTCTCACCTGTGGGACACAGAGGCATCTCCTCAAACTCCCTTTACATAAAAACAGGTTAATATCCTAATATGTAATTGGCATAAGTGACATGCTGGGGACCTAATGAAAGAGAGGAGGATCAAAAACGTAAGAGTAGCCAGTTCTGGTGTAATCCCTAGAGCATCCCAACAAGATCTGCCCCTGCTCACCTTGCTGTACTTGATCTTAGGCTTTCCCTGTTTTTTTCTTTAAGCTTAGGGAATGGTGAAATGAAGTGGAAGATGCATGTTATAAGTAAGACTGAAGGAATACAAGAATCTCAGTCATCAGAATATGTACATCAGAAAAAGAAGTAGAAAGAGATAAGTTATACTGGCTTTGACTCATTTTAGGTATGTTCAACTACACCCCCAAGTTTCCTGGCATTAAAATGTACAGTATCTGTTATAGCACTTTGAGAGCTGTAGGCTTTGTGACAGTTGACCCGTGGGCTCTAGGAGAGCTCTCCAGAAATCTCAGCTGCATTTTCCGCAAACGCAGTTTCATTCATGCAGTTCTTTGCAGGCACAATCCAGTGTCCCCGCTCCTCATCTGCAACTGCAATGCTAGAAGCAAAAGCATAGAAAGGCAGGTGGCAGGGGTGAGGCAAAATGGACATTGTCCTTATATTAAAAATAGATCTTTTCGGTATGCCCAGATTCCATAAGCATAGGGAAAAGTCATGACTAGGAGGCAAAAAGCTGTTCCTGGATGTTCCTGAAGAGTGGTCTACAAAAGGGCTCAAAAGAAAATGTTTTGAAGAGAAGTTAAAAAGAACCATATTCTCCATGCATCATCAGGAACACAGAGGCAATGTGTTAAGCTGTTGCTTAACAGACAAAGCACATACTCCCCTTCCTGCATCAGCCCTCCCTCCATATTTGGGGACTGCATTATCTGTAGTGTCTGGCCGCTATTTCCCTGCCAAAAAGCCAGAAAAAAAAGAAGAAAAAAAATCCATATGGTTCTCCTCCTACGGGGGAATGTGCAAACTTCCACACAGAATCTGCACAAGAGCAAGATCCTATTTGCACTGCAATAAACACCATTTGCTCATGCCTCGTGCCTGCGGGCAGTACTGAAAAAGCTGGATTCATAAATAGTATCCTGGGGCTCACATAATGTAAGAGTATTACCAAGCGTTATCAAGGCAGCAATTTTCTGTTGCAATAAGCCACATAGTCAGATGTTTGAGATGGAAAAGACCTATCTGAATATTAAGCCCATTGGTCAGCAGATGCACAGTATAGTCCCCCAGATATCAGATATTAAACTGTTGCAGTACGTTGCAGCCTTAGTCAAATGGCCAAGAAGACTCAAGCCTCAGGAACATTTTAAATGAGCATCCTTACAGTGCAAGTACAAGAGCTCTATTTTGTTCTTTGTATGAGCGCATTAAATCACCAAAACAATATTAATACCACAAATTGAAAAATCAATAGCATTTTACAACAGGCACACTACTCCCCCAAACAAAACCTGCATACTTTTGTAAATGCAGTTCAGAAAAGGCTGAATATAAAACAGAAAAGGCACAGAGAGATTGGCAGATGAAAAGAGCTTATCTACTGAAGTGTGTGGTTACCACGTCTCCAGTATCTCGTACTGCTCTGCTATGGTACATGTTCTCCACTCCATTATATCAGTTTTACACCAATGTAACTGCACTGGATGCTTAAACAGAGTTACGTGGGCATAAAACCAATATAATGAAATGGAGAATCAAGCTTTACAGTGTAATAGACTCAGAAGAAAATTATCTATTCCCTTGTGAGGAAAAAACTTAGCTATTTTTAGCCAAAGCCTCTCTCTCACTCTTTTGTTTTATTCCTGCTATAGATTTTCAAGGCAAATATGAAGTTACACAGTAATAAAAGTGAATAGTACTACACCACGAGCAATAAGAACCCACCTTTTCATGTGGACAACATACAAAAGTCCAGATTCTTCCCTGAGGCTTGGTTATGCCCGAACCCAAAATATCTGCCAATCTTCTATCAACCCTATAAAAAACTCTAATAGCCGTCAGCATGTGCAGTCAGTCTTTCTTTTTAAGCTTTATTGGTAATTCACACCTCACCTGAATCGTCACCTTGCCTTAGGTATCTTTACATTTCCCCTCTCTAGCCTCAGGTCACTAAGCTCCACACTGATGGGCATCCAAAGGACTGCGCAACTCATGGTTATCACAGCACATCAACACATCTAGAGCTGCATGCAAGGTCAACACCTGCTTAACCTGACCACTGCACTGAAGAAGCTTGCTACAAGGAAGTGGTCTTTGTTTTACAGACCTTTAGGTAGCACTGCTTCACTCAACTCTGAATGGCTTGGTCCACCTTACTGCTAAAGTATTATGCAGCATTTTAACCACAGGGTGGGTATGGACACACCATCAATACAAGGGGGCACAAGCAGCAGCTTTGTGCTCACTTCTAGATTGTCCTCGCTATGAGGAAAGGCAGTATGTTTGCCTAAAACCCCTTCACTGATGATTAAGTTAATCTGGTTAATTCCATAGCGTTTAAGAGCCTTTAACTCTCATTCAACACAGCCACACACCTTCTACGATACCCGTGTTTTGTGTCAGTGAGCAACAAATCACATTTGCACATTTTACAAGCAAAGCACTGAGGTGCTCCTGGACTTAGATAAAATAAAACCCACGAGCTAGATTTTTATTGTACTTGCAATTAAAGAGGCTTATGAAAATCAGTAAAAATTTATGACTACAGGATATGTAGAGACTATTAAGTGAATGCCTGGGAAGCTAAAAAGAAACTGGGTAACGAAAGGTTATGGTGATCCTCAGGTGATAGCATTTTAAAGATGCAACCAAAGAATGGAACAACAGTTGAGTAACTTCTGGTGAAAAAATCAATTTTTCTGAATAGTAAGAGCTTCTTCTCATAAGGGATGTTTTTTAGATGGTTTTGACCCAATGAAACTGAAAATATTTTGACATTCTAAAAGAAGAGATATGTCAAAGCGGTAATTAATTGTCACTCTTACAGAGATATCCAGTGCTGTAGTTTATTTCATGCTTTACAAAAAAGAGTTATTAAAAAAACTGCAGAGCTGAAATTGGGTACTCTTTCTTTACCCAATGATCAGTGGCAGTGTGTTCAAACAACTGGGTGACCAAACCACCCGCACACCCTGAACACCTAAGCAATTTGGGTACTCTTTGACACAAATAATGTCCAATACTGAGATATTTTCACAATTTCCAAAAACGTGATTCTTGAAGTAAGATGGTATTAATCTCAAAGCATCATACAAATTACAGTTTCCAAAACATTCATGCAACTGACATGCAGGAGTTCATTAGAAATAAAAGCCAGTTGTCCTAATGAAACATTGGTGGACTATGAACTAGTGAGGGTATTATTTATAGCCTATAATGTGTTACCAGCTGAAAAGTATGATGATAGAGAAGAAAGACTTGTTTGGGAAGTCAGCACAGAGAAACAGAACCAGAGAATCCTGAAATCACAACTCTGCAAAAACCCTCTTTCTGTGAGATGCTCTGGTTTAGCCACTTCCTCCACAGCTTGGGAATACCACGAGTCCTACAAAGCTACTGCTTGTAAAGGGCACTGAAGCAAAATATACTATTACCATTGATTTTCTTTTTTTTTTTAACTACTGGGAATGTTGGGTTTTGGTTTTTTTTTCACAAATGCTTTGACTAGCAGTGCTCTAACAAATATTTAACAAATAAACCCATTCTTGTCTATTTCAATACATTCCTCCCTTCAGCTGGAGAACACAGACAGGAGTACGCATGGAATTTGATAATCATATCAAACATCTCTCTGATCAAAGACTAACTGTCCAAGAGTCAAGGGCTGAACCTCCTGATTCTCTTCAAATTGTTGTCAACCTCTCTGAAGGATAGCTAGATTTCAAGGTTCTGTTTTTCTAGCTCATGAAATAATCAGAAATATAATCATTCAGGTAAATTATACGATGATGTAACATCTCTGCTAAATTTGAAAAGATTTGCAATTCTTTGTGTTGGCAAACAGTAATTGAGAAATGAAGAGTCTTGCTCAGAATTTCACCCCTAAATCCCACCTGCTTAGGCAATAATTTAAGGCTTTCTCCCTGTTTGGCATTTCTATTCAGACAATGCCATGGAAGCCAGCCAGCCTGTAGAGAGAACCCCAGATGAAGTAACAGTTCTATTATCCAAAATATGCTGGAATCTTCAATGATTATTTTAACAAAAGTGAAGTCAGTAAAGGGAAACTTTACTGGTTTCCACTTCATGACAGAGACAGATTTAAAAAAAACATCCACTAGCATTTGCCAAATAGAGATGGAAACTATTAGGAAAAACAACTTCCCATTCAAATGGATATTACAAACAAGAGGGCATAAAAACAAAAGGGAAACTAAAAGAAGAACTTGACAATATAGCATTACATGCTTCAGACAAAATATGACTGAGTGAATTAATTTCTGAATAAGTTTCACCACAGAAAGAGAAAACAGAAGATGGCATTCAAAATCATTTTTATAAAGGCGTAAGAAAACATGCATTCCTTACCCATTCTGTATAGCAGCTGTTGGATCATAAGTCAAAGCCATGCCAGCCTGCACATAGTTAGGGAAGAAAAACAGATTTTTACTATTACTGCAGGGGAAAAGAAAAAAACAACCCAAAACAAAAAAAACCAAACCCATTAAACATTTTCTAAGCCAATATGAATAAAAGTTGACTGTAACTTAGATGGAAAATCTAAATTCTCCAGGGAAGCTCAGATGGCCCAAAGCAGCACAGACAGATTGGCTATGTCCCCTGCCTGTGAGATCCCTGAGAAATAGATCTGTTCAGTATGCCGGTTGTCATCTCTCCGTAACATTTAGGGCAACTGGTGGTTTGGTTGCACCAGTATCAGTTAAAAACTCCACTGAGATCAAGGCATTTACATCCAATTGCTCACTGTAACAAGACAGGGCCAAATCCTTCTGTTGCCTGTGAGACAGGTAGTTAGTAAATATTCTAAAGCCAGCTTCACAAGAGCGTCTCAGGGAAGGAGTCTCATCTTTCCTACAAAAGTAACACTCTGCATGACCCCAATCTACCATTTCCCTAGGCTGTCACTTGTACTTACAGTTAGTTCAGTACCACAAGACAAGAAACAAAATGTGGGCTGTGAAGCAGAAAAGACCAACCAAAAACAGAAAAAAAGAAGGAAGAAAGAAAAAAAGAAGAAAGAAAAAAAAGAAGAAAGAAAATAAAAAGTCCTTGAGTTTTTAAACAAGGCTTTTAAAATACTTCAGATGTCTGGACAGCGAAAGAATTTGTTAATGGGCTACGCAGAGCCTTTCAGCTGCTGCTCACCACCAAGCAGATGGTGACCTGTGCAAAAGGATTTGGCAGCATCCAGTTAACAACCGTCACCACCACCACCATTAGCAGACATCCACACGTACTGCAGGAAAGGCAGGGAGAGAGCAAGCCAGAGACTGCTTTTCCCGCTCTACCTTGTGCTTTAAGACAGCAGTCAGGGTCATGTAGGAAGGACTAGCTTTTTCCCCAGCATTTAAAGACATGGAAGTGACAATGTGTCTCCCACACACTGCATTTGCTTTGACTTTTTGTCTTCCTTCCACTATCCCCTCCCTTTGTGAAATACTTGACAATGTTACACTACCAGGAGATGGGAAGACATCTCTTTCTGTGTAGGGCTAGAAGCAGAGGAGAGGACCACTGTTATTCAAGATTCTGCTCTCCCTTTGGGAGCAGCTGAAAAATGGCCACAGCACCATCCCACCCCAAGGTACTGTAGCTCTCTCCTCTTGACATATAGACCATATGCTCATTGCCTGAGACAGGAGACAGCTGCATTTGCTTCAAGGACAGGTGCTTTACCAACCACGCAGCAGAGCCTGTGCTCCTGGTGGGAGTTCTTAATGCCCCTGGACCCATCTACCAAAGTACTTTTAAATAACAGCATCTGCCCCCTTCCAGACGGCTACTCGGACAGGTCAGGAAGCGTTTGGGCTTGGCCAGCTCCCATGCAGGCAGGTGAGCAGCCAGGGTAAATGCTCTGTTGATGAACCGGCAGAGAACAGGCAGCATTCCTAAAAGAGCCAGGTTAGCCCGGCAGCTGCACACTGGTCTAAGAGGAGATGGTCCAAGATTCCAGAGGCCAAAAGTAATTTCCTTATGTAACAAAAAAAAAAGTTCATGTCGTTATTATATTTGTATATTTTTCTCATTCTTTTAAGCAGATGCTAGGGCAAGTGCTTTGCTTATTGAAAATGACATTGTTTTAATAAAATACATACTATCTCTCAAGCAAAGGATAATTTGTGAGACTAAGGCCATGAACAGATGGCTATTTTTTTAAAGTCCATTAATTTCATACAAAGAAAAATAAAAATTACTATTTCTGGAAGTTTAAAATGTCAAAGAGTCAAATTTGGCGTGACTCCAACCACTGCTAATTTTGATGTAAAAATAAAGTAGCTTAGAAAATCACAAGGGATGATCAACTTGTTTTTATAATTGTTATGTCTTATATATTCCCAGCATATTATATTTTTGATAAGGTTGCATTAATTACTAATGGAAATGTATACAGTTCATCCCAAACAAGAGCTGTCATGGTTTAAACCCAGCCAGTAATTCAGTACCACACAGCCAACTTACTCACTCACTGCCACAGGCGGGATGGAAGAAGAATCAAAAGAATGTAAACCCCATGGGTTAAGAAGGGTATAATAATAACTAAAGTACAGTATAATACCACTGCTGCTAATGATAATGATAAGAGAAATAACAAGGAGAGAGAATATAAAACTAAAAGGGCAAGGGGAATTAAAAACCAATAAACACAAGTGATGCACAACGCAATTGCCCATCACCCACCGACCAGTACCCAGCCTGACCCAAGCAGTGATTGGTCCCTCCCAGGTAGCTCCCCCAGTTTATGTACTGGGCATGATGTGCTGTGGTATGGAATACCCCTTTGGCCAGTTTGGATCAGGTGTCCTGTCTCTGCTCCCTCCTGGCTTTTTGTGCCCCTTCTCACTGGCAAGAGCATGAAAGACTGAAAAGTCCTTGACCAGGGTAAGCACTACTGAGCAACAACTAAAGCATCGGTGTGTTATCAGCACTATTCTAAGACTAAAGCTGAAATACAGCACGGCACCAGCTACTAGCAAGAAAATTAACTCTACCCCAGCCAAAACCAGCACAAGAGCCAATAAAACTTTAATATCATAAAAAAAATTTTTGTCTGCAATATATTTTAGAGAAAGAGTCATAGTAAGAATGAGGGTGCAGAAAAGATAAATTACAGTAGCTCTTTCCTGCAGCTCTAACAATGCTCAGTGTGCACTTGAGACCTGCAAACACATGTTTATGCCACTTTCAATTACTTGTCTCATGGATATTTGAGCACATGGTCATGCACAGACCTTCAGCCTGCCCTCATGCCCTAGACCTGCATGTGGGTGCATGCAGATAACCTGCACATACTCCATGATATGTATAGAATCATAGAATGGTTTGGGTTGGAAAGGACCTTGAGATCATCTAGTTCCGACCCCCTGCCATGGGCAGGAGCACATATATTAGCATCGTGTCCATTACAAAGTATTGGTACTAGGAATAAGGGACACCACTGTGGGTTTGGCAAGTACAAAATATGAAAGTCTAGGCACTCATGATCTTATCCATGCTCCATATCCATATTGCAAGATGACAGATTACCAGAATCTGTTCAAGAACTTCAGCAGTGACAGCTATAAATATCGCTACCACATTTGCCTGTAAATGAAAGTTTCACATCAGACAAATATGACACAGTGTGTGGCAATACATGCATATGGCACACTACCTACAGTTTGCCCAGTAATATTGCTAATATCCCCCCATTGCTGAATAGCCTTAAACAGCTGCTATTTCAAATAGCTGCTAACAGAGGACTTTTTACTTCTTTCTCATCAAGTTGTGTAATTCCTCCCTACAAAATTAAGCTGGCTGGAAGCCCAGGAGAGGCAACAGTTAGCCTGGACCAGTGAAAGATTTATGGTCTGAAGCATCCTTATTCATCAGGAATAAAAACTGATGAGCAATAACAACTTACTGGAAAATCGTCTGCACTTTTCTCCATAGCGCACAAACAAGAATTCCAAAAATACCAAATAAAAAATATTAGTATTGGCCTCAATTTTCCACATGATAGAGATACATCTTATTCTGTCAAAACCAGAACAGAATGTAGCTGTCACTGTGCTTAATACAGTATTAACTATACTGAGGCACTGGGTGATGCCTCTACAGCAGTTATGCTGAAGAGTATTTTCTTCCAGGTCTTTTCATCTACTGTTTTGCACATGTTTCGGTGGAAGGACACGGTCTTATTCCTTCTTCTAATAGTGACACTTCCTGATAAAAAGCCACCTCAGAGAGTGGCACTGATGATGGAACACTGCTCTAGGAAAATATTTGTCAAATAAATCTTCTATGAAGAAACAACTGCACCACAGAATTTTTATGCCGCTCAGCCAGATAATGGACATACACTCAGACACTGAATGAGCTCCTGCACCTCAACATTTCAACATGCAATCCCTGAAAGTAATAATAAAAAAATTAATATCTGTTATCAGTCCCACACATAATAATTAAGACCATTCTCAATGATTACTTGACCAGTCTGTTCAGAAAGTCACTTGACACAGAAATAAAACCAGCTCATTTAAAATATTGATTTTTAAAAAAGACTATTTAAACCACATGTTTACTTATCACTCATTTTTACCAAAGCATCTGAACTCCAGACAATGGAATTAAGCCATTTTGTTGCTGCATTTTTCTATTTAATGACATCAATGAACAAAGAGATTCTAAAAACAAGAGACCCAGTCTGAAACTTTCTTTACATTTAAGCTCTTTCCTTCAATAGAGTGCAGCAAATAACAGAAAACCTCTGTAAGGCAAGGGTTCTCCCAGGAAGTTTGAAGGCCTTTGCTTAACATTTCACTGCAAAAAATTTTCCATAGGCAAAGATAAGGTGTTTTGTTTCTGTTTTTTCCCCATCTCTTTGTTATGAATTGAACATAAATGAGCACATTTGCCTCATTAAAGAGACTTAGACGATCTCATTTGCATTGCTTATGTAAATTGGATTTGTAAATCTCTCAAAGAAATTATTAAGTTGCGAAGCGATTATTGAAAAAATGATCACATCTTCAATATAATGTGAAATAAGGTGGGTTTATTGCTTCTCTTCTGAACCTCTGCAAGCTCTCACAAGAACCCAGTATCTGGCTTCCAGCAAACACATAGCTATAAATGACCAAATTTTAGGTTGCATGATATCTTCTATGTTGCTGGGCAGCAGCTTTCATGAACAGCTTCACCAACATATCATTATGTGGGAGTTATACCAGAAGATAAGTCCCTCTTCCCCATCTCCTCTGATTCATACCCTCATCCTTTCCCACTGGAGGGCTGCCATCCCAGGAGAATGGGTGTGTTCTTGGCTACTACAGTGGAATCAATTGAAATTTCAACAATGAAATTCCTGTACTTGTTTGTTGCCACTGCTAACATCTGCCAGACATCACAGCATAAG